CATACGGAGTATATTTTATAAATCATATGGTATATACCTAATATATGAAGTATTTACGTAATATATCAATTATATAATGTATTAAAAAATATAACATGATATTATGGGTCGGGTAATGGTGCGGGTCACCGTACCCAAACTAAACGGGGCGGTTACGGGGCGGGTAACGAGTCGGTTAAGCATAAAACCGAACCCGCCCCATAATTACCCGTTTACATAAATCGGATATTCCCTGCCTCGTACCTGTTACCCTGTCAACACTGTTTTTCCCATTTTGACTGGTTTGGTTCAATGCGGGTATCCATTGGGTCGGGTTAAATTGTCATCCCTACCTTTAAGCAATTTGCAGCCGCCAGTTTTATCCGGAATTTTTCCGGGACGAGCATTAGTATAGTAAGTTGGAATGGTTGAAGTTTGGGAATCTTGCGACGGTCTAGGTGTTGTGCGACTTAGTAAAGGTATGCCAACTTAGAATCATATTTGTTGGTTCAAAAATGGACGTTGACGGGCTTTTCGGGAAAGCTACAACAGAACACTCGAGTAGGAAATAGTAAGTACGAAAATGGAAAGTGCTCAAGAGGTTTAGTTGCTAGAAATAACTTATTGTTCATTTGAATTACAATTGTCTTTTATAGGTGTTTACAAATGGTTAATGCGACCAACCATTATGACTATTTTTTTTTAAAGAAAAAGACTTATTTATTATTAATGAAAGTAGCAGGAGGTAAAGCAATACAATAGCTCAAGGCTACACTAGGATTAGACATAAAATCGATTAGCCCCCAAAGACCGATCATATTCGCTAATCTTGCAACGATGTAGACTAATCTAACAGCACTGCTGAACTTGCTACTAAAATGAAAGATAACTAAACAAGAATTCTTTGAATAAAAGCAACAAAATAACTCAAGTAATCCGGTTTTACCAGTCACCAGGAAGGGAGAAGAGGTTTGTCCATCCATCTCCAAAGGAAGCATCTTGACTTTAAAAGACACTGAGGAGGGTGAAGAGGTTTGACCAACCACCTCTAAAGGAATCATCTCGCTTATGGGACCTGACAGTCTTTTAGGTGGTGCTGTTCCGGGAGCACCACCACCTTGCCATTTTTTATCCCTCACCACCAACCTCCTCAATTGAAGTCCTTGCACAAGCCTGATTTGAGCTCTCCAGTAATGGCCAACAAAATGAACACCGGATCCAAGACAGAGATGAAGAATCGCATAAATTCACGAACAAAAACCCCAAACACATTCACAATTGGAACGGACTAAACCCTCGGCTAGAAAAAACTCAACCGGACTAACAAAGCGAGAAAAAAACTTCAGAGTTGCGGAGACTCATATGCATTGTCGATCCTCGTGCATACCCCTATGGAAGCCGCGAATCCAATCTCAAGCTCTACCTCTGTGTCGTTGTACAAACTCATGCGAAGGGAGTCAGACGGGAGCTGCACATCGCCAGGGTTGTAGAGAGAGCCTCATGAAAGGCAGTTACCAGGATGCAGTTATGACTAATTAATTACTAGTATTCGAAGTGTGAAAAGCATATGGCTCTCCATGTATTTGGGACAGAGCCTCACTCGCTCTCTGTCAGCTAGTAATTAAAATCAAATCTATATCCACTCAGTTAACTGTCTGGCTGGTATTGAAGAGCCCTCACGGATGAGGTGTCATCTTTTTTTATCCACTCAGTTAACATTGTCAAGTTTGACCGACACATGGATTAATAAATTAAAAACTGTGTGATTGAGGTTTGTACAGAGGAGAGTGAATTAACTGGAACCACAGATTCTTTACTCAAAAGGGAAAGTTGCAAAGTTAATGAGACAACCAAAAAAGGAAAATTGACAAAGTCTTAAAGAACTGAGGGAGTATGAATTTATAAAAAAGTATCAAGAGAAACTGTAATCAATATATATATATATATATATATATATAAGAGGAACTTTTTAACAGCATACGACGCGCCACGTAATCCTGCCATGTCATCATATATAATTATGTAGTATTTAAATAACTTTTTATACCTTTTATTTTTATTACATTCTATTTTTATTGCATATTGATACAGAAACAAAAGATATAGAATCCAACTTATTTGGTAACTTTTTGAGAACTTATTACGGAGTACTTATTAATTTGGATAGTACTTTTTGAGAATATTGGATACTACGTGTTGGGACCCAATATCCCAGGCCCAATGTACGAGGGTACCAGGAGGAGACAGAAGGCCCAAAGCAGTCCAGACCCGTTCGGCGTTCGGCACATTACTGAACGGGATGCCGCATACTGAACGGCGTTCGGGACATTGGCTCTCTGGATAACAATGACGAGATATCCCAATATCGAACACCCTACCCGAACGGGTAGTCAGCAAGTGGAGACTGCATTTAATGCTGAAGCATGGCGGCAGCAAGTGGAGGCATGGGTGCATACGTGGCAGGGGGCATAGCCTACCAAATTCAGCCACGTGTCCAGCTTTCCCATCCCCATTTTAGTATAAATACCTGCATTGAATACATTGTAAAGGATTAGCATTTCAATACTCAGAGCTTAGCAAGTAGAAACACTTCTCTTATTCTTGTATTCTTGTACTTACCTACCGTTCGGGTAATTTCAGTGTAATCGCAGAATTACTGAATACAAGTAGGCTCCGAGTTGAATAATATCTCACTGTTTTATATTTTATACACTTTCCAAACCAACCCAATATCCCTACAATATCCAAAGCTTGTGTTGGGCTTTCGGATCTTCGGGAATAAACCTCAACACTACGTATTTTATTGGATATTAATATAATGCTTATTAATATTGGATATTTTATACTACATATTAATAGCCATTCGGAAACAAAAGAGATATAATCCACCTTATTTAATTATTTTGCCCACCTAACAGATAAACCAACCAAATTCCTATTAATATTGTTATTCAAAGTTATTTTACACTCTTGGTCTAATATAAAGTCGTTTGATAATACTAAAGTTTAGTATTTTATTTTGGTAGAATAACTTTTTTACATTGAGTAATGATCCATTTTTTACATTTTCAATATGACGAAATAATGACTAAAATGTTAAAATTTAAAAATACTCATTTCATACCATATTGAATGAGAAATATTAAAAAAAATAGTGTTTTGAGATGCTTAATAAAGTAATTTAAAGTATGTGAGATAAATTAAGAAATTTTTGTGTGAATTTTTTATAACCGGGTTCATAACAATTATGGTTAATTAGCTGGGATGCTTATGTAGAAGTCCAGTTTAAAAAAATTCATATGATTTTTATTTTATTTTATTAATGATATACGTAGTAATTTTTATTTTATTTTTTCATAATTCAGGAGATTCCGTCAATTCAGTCTAATCAGTTAGATTTAATTCATTACATTAGAATCAGACAATTCAACTAATTTTAGTATTATCAAACGGTTTATATCGGATCAAGTTTATTTTGCTTTTGATTCGCATTAAGAACCCGTTTGGTAACATCAAAATCGGCTAATTCTGCTGAAACTTATGAAGTTTTGACTGAAGTGGCTGTATTGGCTGATTTATGTAAAAATTATATTTAAAATATATTTATTAATTAAATAAAGAAAATTATATATAATACATAAATAAAATGATCTCCTACAGTAACTTCAGCTAATACATTCATAAAAGTAACCCTAACCATACGTTCTTTTTTTATTATTACACAATTCAACGCGTGAAATTAAAATTTACGTGTTTGATGAAAAAGTTGACTGATAAACCTGATAATCCAAAAAATGTGATTACCAAATGAGCTCTAAATTATACTACATATATGATTCCGAAAAAATCAATTTTATAATTATCGAAATTATGTGCTACGTGTGCATCTCGGACAGGCTTGAAAACTAGTGCTAAATAATGGTCTATGTTTTGGACAAAGAACGATGTATCATGTAGGTAACAGTGTTACTGACGGTTACCCATGTTTACTTCCAGAAAGGAAGGTACTGCTCCTATTTTAATTTGCTAGGCATAAAAGGACTTTGTAAAAGCATTTGGTGGGCATACTTTTTTTAATACACCTTCAAAAAATAGTCCCCTCACTGAGGTGTGTAAAAAGGCGCGTACAAATAGTTTTGGTGGGGGAGCTCTTATTGATCATAGGTGTTCATGTAAATACTCAAAACTTTGAAAAGAAGTGTACAAGTCAGGGACAGATCCAGAAATCTACGTTGGATTGGGCTGAAAAATAATTATAATGGACTTAAACATTAGGAGGGGGGCGAAATATGAAAAATGAAACAATTTACACAATAAATTAAAAAAAAAGTTGCCTTGAGCTTCGACCCAGTATAGCCCATACGTATAGTAGATCCTCGTAAAAGTTAGGGTTGTATATGAATCAAATAGTTTATACTTGGTCCAGGATTCGAAATCGTATAAGACTATTTGAATTTGAAAAAAAAATCAAGTACAAATTTGATTTGAATTGTTGTCAAATACAAATAAGAATATGAGCATATTTGATTCGAATATTAATCATATATACTCCTATTTGATTAATAATAATTAGAATAACATAATAATACTAATATTAATAATAATAATAATAATAGTAATAAAACTATAATAACTTTTAAAAACTAGTTATACTTTCAAAGTGTAGCACATATATACATTTACATTTTTTTTACTCCGGGGGGGCGTCTGGGGGAGGGGCTTGGGGTGGTGTGGAGTAATCAGAGCTGAAACTCGCTTCATTGAGTTTCGAACCCGAGAGTAAGGGAGAGTGAGTCGGCGACTAGCTGGGCAGGACCGTTTCCTCAAAAGTAATCATGGCTGTACATTTATATATACACATCAAACCCATTTATAAGAAATCAAAAGTATTATACGAAATAAGAGGCCGTAAATGAAACAAATAATTTTGATTTGATTGGTAATTTGGATTTGAGAACTATGATTTTAAATTATAGAATATGAATATACGAATAAAAACCAGATTTCCGGTTCTGTGATGAGTCCAAATGGAAGTACTTTATTCATTCACATTATGTGTATATATAAGGGGAGGGGAGCTAGGGTACAACATGATATGGGCCAAGACATATGGGCCTATGCTAGGAACTAATGGACATCCATAATTACATAACACTTCCCCTTGGATGTACATTGCTAAATAAAAACATTACAAGAAAAATATACATTATTCTCTTTACACGCATTGATGATGTTGCCTCGTTAAAAACCTTGCCGAGGAAAACCCAGTGGGAAAAACCTTGGTCAAGGGAAAAGAGTGCAACGTGTATACTCCCCCTGTTGACTGCACCACTTCAGGTCTTCTTGTTGAATCCAATTCAATCCAATCCTGTTGCTAATTTCTCGAATGAATTATCGACTATGTGTATGCCTCGTTAAAAACCTTGTTGGAAAAACCCTTTGGGAAAAAACCAATCAAGGAAAAGAGTACATAATATATGTAAAATGATGTGTTGTATTGACTGCCTCGTTAAAAACCTTTAACTAACAAAACCATGCCGGAAAAACTTAGTAAAGGAAAAGAGTACAGTCATTGGCCTTCGGGGCCTAATCTTCTGGATTGCATTTGAATTTACTCTTCTATCCCTTTAGACCGGGCCAGGAACAAGTGCAGCTTTTAAAGCGAGAGATGGGGTAGTTTCATAAGCTGCTCTAAAGGGATAGACAGATTCTTTATTGGAAGCTTGGAGGAGTGTGGCTCCCGTTCGATGGTCCTTAACAAAAAAGAATTTTTATTAAAAATAACAGAACAATCATTATCCGCACACAAACGCTGAATAGATAACAAATTATATTTAATGTGCGGAACATGATAGACTGATTTTAATAATAACGGGCGTGTAGCAGTAGTTAAGGTGACATTGCCAATGTGTGAAACTGGGAGATTTTTACCATTTGCAACTTGAACAGAAAATGAGCTAGTGTAAGGAGATTTACTAGATAAAATACCTTCATTCGAGGTCATATGAGCCGAGGCTCCAGAATCTGGATACCATACAGAAGCATTGTTTTCACCTGTAGGGATAGCCGCTAAAGCTGGAGTAGTATGAGCAATCCAAGAACAAGCAAGAGCAGAGTGACCTGGGGAAAAGCAAATCTGACATACAACTGGTGGAGGAGGAGACTGATAATGGTTCTCATTAGATGGAAATCCTGTAAAAATGGGTGAGTACCACAAGATGATAAAGCCTTAATACTAGAATAAACATCACTAATATTACCATATGCCGTACCTGGGAATCCAGCCGGAACATGCCCACGAACCTGGTAGGGAGCAGTCACTGGTCCACCTTGCTGCCCTGCAAAAACTGTCCAGCCGGCGGAGCATAAACTGGAGCACCTCCCTGCTGCTGACCACCGTATCCGCGGCCACGTCCCCGGTGTCCACGTCCTCGGCCACCACCCCGATAGCCCCGACCTCCATTGCCGCGTGCTTGACCACCCCCTCGGCCCTGGGGTCGAACGGCAGCCTGATCATAGGCTGCGAAAGCCTGATGTCCCGGAGCAGCATCCTGAGAACAGAGATATAATGCGCGTTGTTCTAGCGCCATCAGTTGCGGACGAAGAGAATCAAAGGTGAAGCTATCCGGGAAAAGAGTAACGGAGGTAATGACGGATTCATACTCAGGGCCAAGGCCTTGAATCATGGACTGAATGAGCTCCCGATTACTTACAGGTGAGTTAATAGTATTAAGTGAATCGATTAGAACTATTACTTCACGTAAGTAATCATCCATGGACTGATCATCTTTCTTCTTAAGAGCAGATAAAAGCCTCCTAAGCTCTATGCTTCTAGCTACACATGCGGCCATAAAGCGTGTTTCCAACCGTTCCCATATTAAGGCAGAAAAACGGACAGTGTGAACTTTCAATTAAAATATTACGGGAGAGGGTTGCAAACAACCATGATCGAACTGTCTGATCAATTTTTAGCCATGAACTATAATCAAGACTGGAGGATACAGGGGCAACAATGGAACCATCAAGGATCCCAATAAATGCAATCTAAGCTTGATATCTCCGCATAATCCCACATAATAAATGCAATCTAAGCCAGATTAATGATATATTAATGATCCACGATTTCATCTATTACAAAAAATAACATAAGATAACAAGGTTTGTAACTTTGATATTCCAGTATAATCCCGCATAGTTATGCAATTGCAATCTATGACAGATAAAAAATACATTAATGATCAATAATATTATATATGGTAATTCCACCTAAAATAATTATAATGAGATACCAATAATCACTCATATGATATAATTTAGTTCCTTCCAAAAGAAATAAGAAATCAATCATATTACTCCAATTCATGTACACCCAAACCATGTTCACCAAATTTTCCTGTGCCATATATGTATTTAGTACATAAGTTGGAGTAATATGGTTGAGTTCATAAGGACATGTACTTTATCTTGTAGACAAAAATATGACTAAAGTTAGTATAAATATAATTTTATGGTCAATACAACATTCAAATTGTACATCATCAAAATCACTGAAAATACTACTCTACTTTTGTCCACTATGCCTATTTTAATCATATATTAGAAATTATTTCTAATTAATATAGTTAATTCAGTTTTTAGAGCCCATTAAAAATGGATCCGCAAGATGAGTTTAGAAACATGTTCTTTATGCCCAATGTGCACCTAAAGGTAGGCATGGATCGGTACCAGGCTCCGGACCGGTCCAAACCGGGCTTTCTCTTGTGGGTTAAGGCTCAAAACCGGCCCGGGAGTCTACCGGGTCCGGGCCGATCCAGGCCAGTCTCGGGCCGGGTCAATTCTTTTTTTGCTTTTCTAATTAACCCCAACCCACCTCACCCCCCACCCCCACCCCCCCTCACCCGCCCACCCCCCACCCCCCCCTCACCCGCCCACCCCCCACCCCCCCTCACCCCGCCCACCCCCCACCCCCCTTCACCCGCCCACCCCCCGAAACACCCAGCCCAACCGGTCTACCACAAAAAAATGAAAAAAACAAAAGAAATTAGGCCCAGACCGGGCCGGTTCCAAAGGAAGGTCAGACTGGAACTACCCCGCCCTAACACCCAAGGCCGGTCCTAGGCACGGAACCGGTCCTGGTTCACCGGGCCGGTCCTAGGCACGGAACCGGTCCTGGTTCACCGGGCCGGTCCGGTTCCGCACAGTGGTGGTCCAGGCCGGTCCGAAAGGAACCGGGCCACCCTTACCTAAAGGGCATACATACAACTGCTTTCAGTTTCGCTTTCCTTAATAAACATGAACTTCAAATGGCTTTTGGGTCCTACAATCTCCTTACAAAAATTATACCCGCATGGCATAGAGCGTGAACTCTCCTGTATAAAGAAGTCAGAATCATAGGAACTCATCAACAATGATCAAATGAATGTGACGATCATATACCACATTAGAATTACTTCTCCTTTCATTTTTTCATGCTTTAGAGTTTAAGATAAATCAAAATTGACAAATATTGTCTGAAAAATCGTAAAACATGAAGACATTTTTTGGACGAGTAGAATATGAACACATGGAAAAGCAATCTACAATTTCATGATGTATATATAAGCAGGGCTATTTCTACAATACTGGCCCTGTGTCCACTACTAAATTTGGGATAGAAATAAGACAACATCATGTCGCTTTAAAACATTCACCCATGAAAGGTGATGTAAAATTTTATTCTACCACAAATTTTACCTGAGCGTGGACAGTTCACCATAGTTGAATGAATCGAAATCCATTTATATCGTGTATATATATGCATCTTAAACAGCTGCCAAACTGTCAAAATCAGTATCATCAACAGTGAGCCAGTCTCCCGACTCTTCACCTTCTGATTCCTTATCTTTCCCATGGGAAGTGGACTGACCAGTGGTTTGTTGACCAGTCCGAACTTTAGAATTTTCGTTTAACTGAATCCATTCATGGGATTCGCTGGATGATGAAGCTTTCTTGTTGTGAGAAGCCATAGTTCCGGAATCTTTATCTGCAGAAGCTGCAGCATCATCATCATCCTCTAGATCACTAAATGAAACATCTTCTGCATCATCTTTGTTCCCCTGCTTCATATTTAGGTGAGTGATAGCTTCCACGGCTAACACAGCACTACTAGGCTCAACTGCAGTATCTGTACTAGGCAGTTGGTTTTCCCCATCTGAAGGTCTTTCCACGGTCTCAAGTTCATTTGTAGGCACAGAATCTGTATTTTTCTTACTGCGAAGCTGCTGCAGAAGCATCTCCCTGGCTTCAACAATCTGCAGAAAATAAAAAATCAACCAAAATTAGAATCTGCCAGTGTTCACTTCCTCATCAATTGACCCCCTTGCAATAGATCTTATTATAGTTTAGAAATGTGCTGAAGCCAATAGAGGTTCTGCTACAAAGAAATATAAATTGATATCCAAACCAGGTGCAATCAGTAAACACATGAGCAATATAAGAAGATGCATGAGAGGTCGAGTGGATAAAATAATTAAATGAGGAAAGCATTAATTTACATATAATTTCTTCTTTTATTGAGACAGAAAACAGATTCAATGCATCAAAGACCACAACAGTCAACCAATGCACATTCTCAAAGGAGGTAGTCGTAGAGACAAGTGGGTGAGAGCTTGAGCATAACATCATTAGCATTTAGTCAATCCAAGAGAAGGCTTGTGAGGTTAAATCAATCCAGTACAGAATACAGCATAGTCAATAAGATAGGAAGGATTAAATCTATGAAGTACGTTGGTTGCAAAGAATGGTCCTAACGCCCAACAGTCTAAGGCGAGCAATTAGCTAAGGTGATCTAATACAACAGGTTGCTTACTAACAGTGCCAGTGTGTTTCAAGAACAATCTCTAAAGATCAGGAAACTGGTTCTATAACTATGCCAGACATAGATAGAATTGCTAATCGGGGGTATGCTTTGAACTTTTTGTATGAGATATTCATTATTTTAGTTGGAACAACTGAACAAGCATAGGGCATTACAATGACAGCAGTGCAGCAACACAGCAAAACATACTTCATCCTTGTCGCTAGCAACTATTTCTTAGACAATGCAGGACTGCTTGTCATTGTTAGATTCCATTTTTCTGCCATTGAAAAAAATAATGTTTTCCTTCTACGTTTAACACCTTAACTCTCTGACTTTTAGAAGAGCATTCAAGAACGATAGACCAATAGTTATAGTCAGTATTATAAATGAATCCAGGAGACAAGTTTGCATGCCACTGGACAAGAAGTACATTGTTGTGGCTACTGTCATTTGCTAACTTCAGAGAAGAGATGTACATATGCTGATATAGAACAAACTTCTATAACTACTACTCTGTATATATCTGAGATACCCATACAACATGTTCTTATCCTAAGATAAGATACTTGCAGAGGATTTGTTTAATAATTATAACTTTATAAGTGCTGTTCCAAAAGTCCATATTACTCATGATAGCCTATTATGATGGAAAATATTCATTTTCTGGAAATATTCCAAAACAAGTTGCTCATAAGAGGTATTAAAAAAGAAGAAAAACATGTGCACGGATGTAAATGTGCATTTATGTGTTTGACGAGGGGTGGAGACTTGCCTCAGGACTTGAAAGGGTCTCTAAATCATTTTCGTCCAACCTAGGAATCAATAGGATAAAATAAATCATCCAAAACTGCCCATCAGTTAAATGGTTGGAAAGTTTTTGCTTTAAGGACCCAAGACATGGAACCAATTGCTCAATATTCTCCACATGCTGCTTTTGGTTATCAGAGATATGAAAGTCTGCAGTAAATTCACATATAACCGTTTCAGACACAATTAGCCAAGCGAGATAAATAAGCAATTTAAAAAATGCAATGGAAAATTCAGCATTGCTTTGCCAAAGCCACTTTGAGCATATGTAGCATGTCTTCACATTGTTGTAATTTTATTCTGCAACCATCCCCAAAAGGTGTTTGTTTCTAATACTAAACAACAGGGCCGGTCCTGGTAAAATAGGGGCCCTGTGCAACAATGAAAATTAGGCCTTTTATTTAAACGTAAAAAATTTACAAAGTAATTCGTAATTTATTGTCCGTTAGAGTTAAATCTTTGCATAGGGATAACTAATACTTAGAGTTAAGTCTCTATACTTAACTAATACTTATGATGTTTCGTAATGTAAGATTTTAGGACACTCTAGTAATGTTAGTAATAAATTCTTAATACTTTATATCAAATTTGAAGTTATTTTTAATTAACAATACAGACAAAATAAAATATCCATTCACAAAGTACCCTTCATTTTAAAAGAGGTGTTTGAACATATTTTCAATGTGAATTATAAGTACAAACTTTTAAAAGGGCGCAACTGCGCAAGTTTACTTAGGTATGGTCAGACTGAAAAGATGTTTTAATTTCTATATTTTATTTCAATTTTTATACAGACATTTTTAAAAAACGTTATTATTATGTCACTATCACTTAATTTTAAAAGATGAATATTAGTTAATGTGATTAAATTTACTATTATAAATCACCACGTTTAAAAACTCACACTTTTTATAAATATTGTTTAGTTTAATCATAATTTTGTAATTATTTCTCATAAAAATAATAATACTTACGTATTTGTCATTTTTAGAATAATTTTATTTGAAGCAAACATCCTTGGCTTTGCTCATGATTGGAAGCCTGGCATGCAAATCCCAAGAAATACACTCCATAGACTTCTCCGTAGCCTTGCTTATAAGGTTGTTTTTGTGTCTTCATCTACTAATTGGTTTCCCACACCGATCATGAAAAAGAATCCTGAGGCCTATCGTTTTATAAAAATGACTTCTCTCATTGGGTCATCCACATTGGTTACTTGTACCCTTAGTGGCTTCCAAAGAGGTGAAAGGCCGTTCTGAATTGTAAGCCTGGGCCGGCCCTAATTTTGGGCCTCAATTTTTTTTGGGCTCTGTGCGGTTGGACTGCCAGCACATGCTCTGGGCCGGCCCTGCTAAACAAATACTGGGAAAGAAAAGAAAAGGAAAAAATATTTAGGACATAGTGCTTCTGTCTAAAACTAATTCACCCTTTTAGGACCATAGATGGGTGATTTCAATTATATAGTACCCAAACAGATAACCATGGATAACAGGATAAGGGTAGTTTAATTCTGAAAAATGTTGAATCAATTTATATTTTAGACACGAGAGAGTAAATTAAAGTTGACATCACATTATCACAACTCTTTGTATGCAACAGCAAAAAAAAACTTTTGGGACTTGGGTAACATAGTTAATGTATGCTTCCCTGGAAATCGGAAGGACAACTTAAACCACATTAACTAAGCAAACTACAACATCAATGTCAATTTGAAGTACACTATACCTGCATACGACAAGCAAATGATTATGACTAAATATGCTTCATAGACCATATACATACAATCTAACGTGCATACATCTCCCTTCCACTCAAGAGATTTTCCCAAATATCATACAGCTTCTCGAAAAATCTCTTTGATACCAGCAACTGCTCATTTACTTATCTATGATCGGGATAAAGCGGAAATATATTACTACTACGGATATAAAATCCACTGAAACAATTTAGCCAAGTCATAACTTCTGCAATTACACAGTAATATACAACCAAACATTGATGAATTAGTTTCAGCTCACCAAACTTGGGTAAATTAATGAAGTGAAGAATATAGATATTACCTTTAGGTAAGCTGATAGGAAAATCAGTCCACAGCTGGGGTCGTTCGGATATAGTTCTCACGAAGTCCACCACTTCATCGGTAATTCCAATCATGTCATCCTCTTCTTCCTCCTGATCTTCCTCGAGCTCCCCTTTCACTACATCGTCCTCAAACTTCAAAAAATTGGAGGC